TGGATATAAATTTTATTTTCTTTTTTTCTAAAAAATATTTTTAAATCAGTGTTTAATTATATATTTATCTGAATTTTTTAAGATGAGTTTCAATAAATTTGAAGATGAGTTCGATATTTGAAAAGTGATTTTAACCTCTTTTTCAAGTAAATAAAGCTACAATATATTTTTTTCAAGTGAAATGTACGTCCAAACATAATTTAAATTTTCAAACTTTTTTTCAGCTTAACTTCAAAATCTAATTTTTTTAATGTCCAAACGTCTACTTAGCAGTATGGTTATGTAATTTGGATAATAAGGAAGACTTGTAATTAGGAGAAACTTTAAGGAGATTTTATGTGGTAATTATCAAATAGATTTCGATTTAAATAAACAAAAAATAGTTCCAAAAGGGCTTTGGATTCACCTTTTTCAACGTAGTACTATTTGTTTTATTTAAGCAAGTCACCGTGTGTCGGTGGCTCAAGTACTGAGTCAATAATGACACGTAATTATAATTACTGTCTTTTGTTATCATAATTTTATAGCCAATTATTTTAGCATCACGATTAATTACTCTGGAGATTTCAGATATTAGTATTTTATAATACTTTCATTTTAGAAAAATACGAGGTACTTATTGGAGTCCTTTTTTCAAAATTATTTTTAATTAGTAGAGTGTTAATTTAGTAAAGATTTAAAGAGAGATACTTTGTATTTTAAATAAATATTTTATGATTATAGTTGTTAAATATTTTTTTTCTTAAAGTTGTGTAAAAATCTTTAAAATACAGAACAAGGACTAGAAGTAATAATTTTCATATTAGTAATATGCAAACCTTGAATAGATTAATTCTTGAAATAGTGTCCTTTTTTTTACTTTCAGAAAAAGTACTCATTAGTTTCTTCTGACTTTTCAGTTAAGAATAATAATGAAGAGATTAGTCCCACTAATTACTTTGTTATTCCAATATAGTACATGACAGATGGTAGAAGGGGACGAATTTGTCGGTGTGCTCTGTCTTCTTCTTTTTTTTAAATAATGACCTGTATGATTTGTTATCGGGTTACACTTGATATAGTTGAACTTTAAGCTGAACTTGCAACTTTTCCATAATTACCCTATTGGCGACTCTAATTTGGAAGAAATGTTGGCCAAACATTTTTAATCTTCTTATAAAAGGCAATACAAAGTGAAACCTTTATGTGCTTAAGAGAAACGTTTGTTTTTTTGTTGCTTTACAATATCTTAGAACTAATTGTTAGCAAGCAAACTCTACGAGGGTCGTTTAGTACGATGGATAAGTATAAATAATTTTTAGATAAAAATTTAGTATCGATTTATTCCTTGTTTGATTATTAATCTTAGGTAATTTATCCTACGTTTAAAAATAGTACTGAGGTCACTTATACTTGTTAGATAATAGAATTTTTATGAGAAAATTTTACATTAGAACAAAATAGCCCATATTTTAATTTACAACCAACCTAGCCCAAAAATAATAGGCTAAGATTTAATATTCAACTCCAATAGATTCTCAAAATTACTATTTAATTTTTAAAAAAGATTCCTCAAGATTTTAAATTAATTTTCGAATCGGTAGCTGTGACTCAAGTATTAATTCAACAAACTAAATTCATTTGAGTGGTTGAAAATTAGATTTTCAACAAGCTTAAATATGTGGGTTTAAATTTCGAATTTGATTTTGTGAGAAATTTGGAGTGGATGTTATAAGACTTGTTAGAAATAGTATAAGGAGATTGTATATAAATTTTGAAGTCATTTAATGGAGATTTGGACTGGTTTTGAATAAGAATTGCAACTGAAAATCGTGGAAGAAGTTCGTCTACAGACGCTTGTATAAAGGTGTATAAAAGTGTATAATAGTGTATAAGGTGTGTTTCTATACTCATATACACTATTATACAAGATTATACATAATTATACAAAAAACTGACTTCGTCTTCTTCCTTGCATTTTTTCTGAAATTTAACTCAAATCTACTCCAAATCACTTCAAATTTAAATTTTGAACTCCTATTGATATTTTCAATCAATTGGAACAACACCCAATCCAAACAACTAACAAATTCAAAAAAAATCATTTTCAAAAGCAAAGCTTTGAATGGTCTTCAAGGTGGACTTCTACTCTTCAATTTTCTTACATTGCAAGCAGGTGACACAAGAGGAGAAGCAAAAAATACACGGTCCCTTGAAGCATATGTAGAAGATGTGAGAAAAAGAGAGAGTGAAAGCAATGGTTGTGAGAATACAGATTTAACTCCATATCTTTTAGAAGCAATGGTTGTAAGAATACAGATTTTGAATTTGCTAGTGCTTTCAAAATATGTATAATATGGGCTAGGTAGGGTAAAACTTAAAAATATGGGTCATTTTTTGTTATGGTGTGAAGTCAGTTGTATTTTCTTGTAATTCCAATAATAATCCCATGATAAGTTCTCCCACGACAAAGCAGTAGAACTGGCAATCCTAGAATTAATATAACATATCAAACAATCAATAAAAAATAATACCAGAATAACTAAGTTCATCATAACTAATTTCACTATAACTAATCTCAGCAAAACTTGTCACGACCCCTTACTTTTTCTGTCTCAAAAAGAACAAAATATGTCAGTCAAAATATCCAGCCTTCGATATGCATATGGATATTGAGTTTCAAATTTTTAGAAAATAAAGTTATAAATTTGAATTCTTTTAAAAGGTAAAAATCATAACTTTTGTTAGATAAGATAATTTGAAAAAAAAATAATTTTAATTATTAAAATAGTAATAAGGTCGTATAAAATGTCACACTATGCGTATAAAGTAAATTGAATTAATTATGACTAATAGGAGGATCATCTTACATTCGGGAATTAAACATTTTAAGAGTAGTTGTAACGTGTTGTGTGTTATACCAATTCCGAAAGTAAGCTCCTCAATTTCTTAATTTTTGGAAAGCTAAAAGCAATAGCGAGTCATAAATAATTTTATCCACTCACTGAATTGGTTATACCCAGCCCTTCCTTTAAATAGTCGATTGAATGTGATTATAAAGACATATTTTCTAATTCTAAATTGTTGTCATTGATTTTTGAAAATGAAAATTTGTCGAGATAAAAGTACAAAACACACAAGAGATAAATCTCTAAATTTTAGTACTCGATTGCTTTCTCCTATTCACTTTTACTTGGCACGTTTTTACTCTTCACGCCCCTTAAGAAATAATAAATGAAGATAATTTACTATGATACACATATTAATTGATGCATATTTTATTGGATTTGAGAAAATAATTTCAAATGAGTAATAAATACTGTGAGTATAACAGGAAAAAAAATTTGTCTTCTCTTGCGTAATCTTTATTAGGATCTAAAGAAAAGGATATGTTAAGGATATTCACTTTCAGCTAACCAAAATGTGTTATTATATTATTTATTTGTTTTGATATTTGATAGTAACATATCAAGTGAATGTATTTATTACATTTAGGTAGAGGAAGTGAGATATTGTTTTCATATAAAGGGAGCTTTTACATCATAAATTAGAGCTATCAAACATATATTTCCATAATAAATATGGGGTGTAATAAAAAGCACACAATACATACGTGAACATTGAAGAAATATTATTGTGATTAGGGAGTTTGGGACATTAACTCAAGAGAGAAGCAGCTGAAGATAAATAAAGTTCTAAAAGTAGGATTTGGATCATCAATGCATATACATCAATGTACAAGGCGTATATTTAAAAAAATTAACTTCTTTTATAGTAGTACTCTAATATTTATTTTAATTTTATTTTCTCGCACCAAACAGTCAAATAAGGTTGACTCACCCATTGTTTGTTTTTCTATTACTATAACGTCTGAATCCCCACACCTAGATTTCATGAAAGGTATGCTGCACCACCTCATAATCAGAAATAAATAAATGAAGAAAATAGAGGTACTCCCTTTATTCTAGTTTATATGAATCTATTTTTTTTGCCTCGTTCTAAAAAAAAATGATCCATTTTTAAATTTGGTAATAATTTAGCTTAAATTTTCAATTCTACCCTTAATGAGAAGCTTTTATAACCACACAAATATTTTGGGGCCCTTTTTGACTTGTTTAGGACAACAAATTCCAAAAATCTTTATTTTTTCTTAAAATTCGTGCTCAGAATTAGAATGGAGAGAGTATAAAACAGCACGAGGAAAAGAACAAATAAATGTTATAGATGGTATATGCATAAATCACGCGTAAATTATGCAAATATACTCTTGGGGTCAAATAAGGTCAAAAGCAATAAAATCTCAAGTATTTTGCACATTTGGACTCTTACTTTTTGAGCATAGTTACGTTTAAGGTCATATATTTTCTTCTATCTTATCATCATTCAATTGAGTTTAATTTTTATGTATTAATAATAAAAAATATTAGATAATCAAAGTATTTATAAGATAACTATTAATTAGTAATTTAATAAAAATAATAATTACTATGCATATCATATTAAGCTACATCAGTAGGGTATATAAAATTGAATTCACATTTATTGCATCAATCTTCTTCATGTTGTTATCAAAAGGGTAGATTAAGACTACAAATTCCAAGCCCCACATCCCCCACCTTTAGACAAAATTATAAACTGTGTTCTCAAAACAATAAATTTGGTTGCATTTAAGAAGTTTCATAGAATATACCTCATTTTTTCATTTCAAAACTTATTAGAATACAACTTGACATATAAAAAGAAAGAGAAAAGGGAAAAAAAAAACAGACCTAGACAAAACCAAGTGGGTATAGCAGAGAGATAAATATAAAAATATATAATAAAAAAAAAAAGCAAAACAAACAAAGAAAAATGACACTGAGTCGCTCTCAAAATAATAATTGAAATATATATATAAACAAAAATTATACAAATTTTATAATTTTTCTTGGTGAATGTAAATATTTTTTGGCGGGATTAAAAATGATATTTGCCCAACAAACAATCTAAGCCCCAAGCCAGCCAAGAGATTCCCATTTCTCCCCTTGTTGTTATAGTCTACCCCTCAATAGGACTTTGAACCAAATCAAGAAAGAAAAACCCACACGACACAAAAAACTTTGACACTTTGCTTTGCCTTTACTTCACAATTTTTCATTTTCTTCCCCAAACAAGTAGAGTTTTTCTAACCTCTTTCATTATGCATTATCTTGTTCTACTTCTTCTTTAGTTCTTCTATAGTTCTTTGTTCTTTGCATCTACGCCCAACTTTACTATATTTATCTTATTTCCCTTTCTCATTACCAAATCTAACCTCAATTCATTTTCTCCTCCCCCCAAAAAAATGACTGACAGAGTCTACCCATCAGCCAAGCCTAATGGCACTACAACCACCACAGCTCCTACCGCCACCGCCGCAAATCCAGCTGCCGCCACCGTCAAGAACCAGATGTACAACCCAAATCGCATTCCTCACCGACCGACACCAACTGCCTACCACCGACACAACCACCGCCGTTGCAGCTGCCGTCGTTGTTTCTGCATGTGCTGTTTCTGGTCCATTCTCAGCATTCTCATTATCCTTCTCCTTGCCGCCATTGCCGGTGCCATTTTCTACGTCCTTTACCATCCTCAACGCCCTACATTCTCAATCTCCTCACTCAAAATCTCACAGTTCAACCTCACTACTACCGCCGACGACACCACCCACCTTACTGCAAAACTCAACCTCACACTCTCAACGAAAAACCCAAACAAGAAACTGATATACAACTATAACCCCATCTCTATAACTGCGCTATCAAATCAAGTTGTTTTAGCAAATGGGTCGTTTCCAGGGTTCACTGGCAGTCCAAATAATATCACTATTATACACTCTACTCTGTCAATGGTGTCTCAAGTTCTTGATGCTGATTCCGTCTCGTCTTTGAAATCAGATCTGAAGAGAAAAGCTGGGTTGCCTGTGACATTATTGATGGATACAATGGTTATAGTGAAAATGGACAAATTGAAAAGCAAAAGGGTAGGGATCAGAGTAACGTGTGAAGGAATTCATGGACCAACTCCTAAAGGGAAAGCTCCAGCTGTGGCTTCAACAAATAATGCTAAATGTAAGGTTGATCTCAGAGTCAAGATCTTGAAATGGACCTTCTAATTTCAGCTCAGTTTGGTTTGACTTTCTTTCCTCTTTTTTTTTTTTTTTT